TCCGTTTTAGCGTCGCTAGAGTAAAAAAGTATTACTCTTTATGACTGAAAACTTGGCGCATGTAGGGTTTTCGTCACATCCATATTGCGCTCCAAACAAGAGCAAAGTGCGTAGTTACCAAGCGCGACGAGAGCACGTGGTCTAAAATAAGAAGAAAAAAAGTTGTACACTAGAGGGCTTGCCGGCGTTCACGCGCTCATTTGAAAAAAATGGGCGGTTGCTGTGCGCTGGGGTGCCCGAATAGAAGTTCCGCGGGAGTTCGGCTGTTTAATCTCCTGAAATCCTCCAGGAGGAGGAAGCTGTGGCTGGATAGAACATGGCGCGGAGAAACCTCGTGGCTTCGACGCACCTTTGCTAGGTAAGGTATTGCTAATATTGTCATGGCGAGAGCAGCAAATAATCGCTCTGACACAGACCGTGAAGTATTTATTTTGTGATAAATTGTCTGTTGCCTTTGAAACGTCACTGTGTTCTTTCGCGGCATCAAAAAAGACGAGTGGTAAGGCCTTTGGCATTGTACCTTGCGTACGTTACGGTGGAATTCTAAGACGTGTTTTGAATGCGCGAGCCTCCCATCAGCTAATTATACTGCGACTGGAGCTTCTGCATGCCCATTTTTGGCGTCGGCAAAAACGTTATTCGCTGAAGGGCCACTTTGAGCCCTCGCAGTATCAGACAAGGTGTTTTGACGGCTGGAGGAGGCTGAAGGCAGCTGCTGTTCCCACCATCTTTTCACAGTCAAGAAGCCAAGTGAGTACCTGCGGCAAGGATAACTCAACTTTTATTTGAGTTAATCCGCATTAACCTTCATTAGGTGTGGTTCATTAGTGTAAATGGTGATCGGGAGTGCGATTATGAGAGTAACTTAAAACACGTAATTATCAGAGCAACTGTTGGAAAGCAAATAATTAATCTTCTGTTCTACTGTTCTGGTTTTAAAGGCACAGGTTACTAACTACTGGAAACAAATACTGTGCACTGGATGTGTTATTGACATTAAAACCTCATGATACCTTGTTTAATCACGAGTGGCCGTTGTACAGTAGTGCATGATACAACAGTAATCCGTTTTGCAGCCTGATGCAACTTAAACCCCACCTTTGTGGAGTCGATCAGTGTACCTGTAGTTCAATGCAAGTAAAAACTTTCTCCTGTTGTTTTTGTTAGTGGAACGCAAAAAGCTCTCGTCACACTAGGCTGCCTTGTGATGCAGCGGCAGCTTCCACCAGCAGGTATATGTTGAATCAAGACGAAACCATTCGCATTTGAACCCTTCTTATTTTAACCCCTTCTCGGTTGCACCCTCCTCATTTCGACCCCTTCTTAGTTTGACCATTCTCGCGTCAACCTGTTCTCGCATGGCCCTTCGCGTTTCCACCCTTTTTGTGTGAGCCTGTTCCGAAAACGGTCTTCGCATTTGAACCTCTCTTGTTTCAATACATTCTCGAGACTCCCTTTGTGTTACAATCTTTCTCATTTAAACCCGAATTTTTCGTTTTGACCCTTACCGTTTCAACTTATCCTTAAAGAACTGTTTGCATTTGAACTGGTCCTGTTTTAATCTCTCCGCAAACGCGCCTAAAATTTCAGATTTGTTTACAGAAAGTTTCTGTTATCAATCGGCTCTATCGCAGCAGGTTTGCAGAGCACCACAGCCTTTCAAAAACCCCTTGACTAGATCAACAGGTATTAAGGTGCTTTTGGCATCATGATGAGCAAAAACATACTTATATTTCGTGGGTATTTTAAAGTTTAATTTCCCCCTCACAAGTTTTATATAGAACGAACACAGGGGAGGTAAGACACGCCGTCGAAAAGACAGAAAAATGGGCTACTCTACTCCGTTTTAGCGTACCTCGGCAAACAATGAAGGCTGCTTCCCAGACGAGCCTATTTGATCGTCGAGGCGAGCCACTGACATTGCGCCGTCAGTGAGCATTTCGCCTGTGTGAAACAGTGCACACGCTTTTTTCGTCGCACTAATTGGCTCATGGGGGCCGTACCCTCTTTCGTTTGCTGACGTATGGTGAAAAGGCACAGAGAGATCGCCCTAGTCTTGTATAGAAAATCACGTACAAAAATCTGCGTCGCCAAGTGGCATAGTATGTCTGAGACCTTTCTGGTCTTATTAGCTCACTTCTGCCCTCTGCTACACATGGAACTTCCACTTGTTATAGTGAGTGCTTTAAAACCAAGTGTCTGTTCTTAGCAGGTGCCTTGACTATAAAGCAGTATTTTTCATTGAATGTAATTAAATAATTAACAATAACTAAGGACTTAACGTAGAATAACTTCTAAAATATTGGTTAAAGGGCAGAGTTGTCAATTGGAAGTGAGCTGTTTGCATCGTAGTAAACCTTGTATGTGTCTTTGTCCAGCCTTTAAAATGCCCGTGAAATGTGGTACCACCTAACCACGTGCTATTCTTTAACGCCCAATAATGGCGCGCAGGTGAGCCGCGAATAGGCACTCTTCGAAGGTGGGAATAAAAAGCAGGCAAAGCATACCATATGCTAAAACGCCTTGAGCGGATGCTCCCTACAACTTTCACATTTAAGCCTTTCCTTGAATCAGCATTTTAAAGGTCTTCTCATTTGCTTCAATGAATTTTTAGGCTAAATAAAAATGTTGTGGCTCTTTGCCAAGACACCTACTAAGAACGTTAGTTCTGTTTGCTTAAACGACTTAGTCTTAATTTAGTTTTAAATTTTGGTTCGATATAATTGGAACACCCTATATATAGATCCCGGTTATGGCCTCACTTTTTTGGCGAAAGCAATTAAGGAAATAACTTAATATTTACCCTCTCGCACATGAGATTATTGTTGTGTCGTGATCCCCCGTCGTTCATTCGTCGAAACACCCTTTTTTCCAGGATTCCGATTTTGAAGCACATTTCTACTTGTCCCCGTGGTTTCAAGGAAGACAAGTAGAGATGTAATAACGCGGACAGCGAGGGAGCTCCCGTTTTGGTGTAAGTACGCCCAAGCACGCTAAGCATTGCTCAGAGGTACGAATGCCAGTGCTACCAGTTTTGTACAAATTCTCAGTACATCAGTCCACACGATAAAATGAAAGCGGCACTCTCGACAGGCTGCCACTGGGAGCTCGAGGTATTTTAAAGAACATGCTCGATATCGGTACGAAATATGTCTGATTGCATGTACGATATCCTCAGGCAGTCTTCCCGCCAGCACAAAGTACCCAGCTGGCAAGTGCGTGCCGTTCCTGTTCGCATGAATAGTGCGATCCAGGTAAATAGCATCAAAAACGTTTCCATTCACAAAGATAAATTAATTAGTATGCTGAACAAAAAAAAGTGCCGCGAGAAAGGATAAACAGTGAAAAGTTGTTTTGAGAGGGGTCCAATCACGAAACTTTTTCTGGGGACTGTAAGAATAAGCCGTATTGAGAAGGGATAAAATAATAGCTGCTTTAAAGGAGCTGTGCAACAATTTCGGTGCTTTGCTTAAATAACTTGGGAGTTGGTGTCTCGACCTTTCTAAACTAAAGAACAAAAACCGCTTTTGCCTGCATGTCCTGGTTTTTATTTTAAAAATTGTCAAAGATTGAGGTTTTCGGCACCTCTCAACTCCTCTGCCATTTTCCGACTCACGTGCGCTGTTCTAAAGAGCGAGTTTCACCGGGTTCCGGTGAAACTTTCTTTTTAGAGTCATCAGTGAGCAGGGAGAACTCACCCGCTCGCGACCACGAGGCCACGTTCTTGCGGAGCGCGATCAGCATGGTGAAAGGAGGAAAGTCTCGTCCGGGTCTGGCATCCGGCGGCTGTTCGTGGTAGCAGATAGAGTTGACGGTTTTGTTGACCTCGGATAGATGGCGCCACTAGAACTGCGTGTAATAAAAGTTTTGTAGGTGATAATTTTTGACACATTTATATTTATGTTGGAATAACAAGATTTATAGAAAAGTTACCTCTTATCGAGCAGGTATTTGCACAACTTCCCATCTTTTTTAGAAGTCCCCCATTGACGTCATGTCGCGTGGTCCTCATGGCCGCCGCTAGCGGCTGTAGGTCGGGAAATATTCTAATTTTAGCCTCGCGATTACGCTGCGGAATCGCAACATTTTGAAGCAAGGGAATGTGTTTTCTGTCCTTTGTGACAAGATAAACAATGTCAAAAGCAGAAGATGAAAATTCCTTCAGCGTTAAAATCGTTGCACAAGTTTTTTAAGAAGGATCAAAATGAGATCGTTTTTGTGAGATCTGTAAAACTTAGATTGAAAGGGGATAAAATGAGAAAGTTTGTTTTGAGAAGAGTCAAAAGGAGAAATGCAAAAGTTGTTTTGAGAAGGGTTAAAATGAGAAGGTATATACATGAAGCTAGAAAAGCGGACGGGTTCAAATGAGAACCACCCCCACTAGCGGGGTATGTTCCGTGGTTTGTACACAGCTTGGATTGATCTTGCGACGTGGAACATCGTTTTGCTCCCATGCCGCGATTGCAGGAAGCAGCGGCCGGGACCTCGAGGGGAACCGTGCAGGCCTGTCTTCGGACAGTGTCTTTCACAGCAACCAGCGGTATCTGCTACGTAACTGTCTTCAAGGAACCTGCGAAACCCTCAGGTAACATCACCGCACTCTTTACAGCAGGCAGCAGGGACCATGCAGCAGCTCCAGACTGGCGCAGGAGCATTCAGCGAAAGAGCCTCCACCAACAGGGTATGTCCCATGGTACCCACACAGATTGGAGTGATGTTGTGGCGTGGATAATCATTTGGTTCGCATGCCGTGATTCCAGGAAGCAGTGACCGGGACCTCAACAAAGACCCTGCATCCTGTATGCCCATCACTTATTTCGCCTATATTCTCTGAAGATGTATTTATCCAGATGAGCAGGAGAATCACGCACCTGGAGAATGAGAATCACCGCTTGGTGAGGCAGGCTGTTTTGATGAAGACTAGGGAAGCAACATTCCACTCTCACTTGCGGAAGACCTTCATTGCGGATCAACTGGCAGCTTTGTCAAGAACTAGCAACATGGGATCCAAGTGGTCCAACAAGACTGTGAAAAAGTCTTTGCAGATGGGATTTGCTTGTGACAGCACGGGCTACGACCTGACGCTGGAGGGGGCCTTCCCATTGCCATCGTTCAAAACACTGAGGCGGAGACTTGAAGGCAAGTTTGTTCTTGGGCTACTCATCTGCCTCAAAGCTCCCTGTTGGTTGTTAGCATGTGCAATATCTTTGTAGTAACACTAGTACTTTGTACTCTACACAAACGTTCTGAGTGTAATCAAGCGGTGTCGTGGTTTCTTTTTCATTTCGCTCGGTTTGGTATGAGGGAGCAGATAAAACATACGCCTTGGATTGGAATGATTATCTCACTGCAGGCATACAAGCACTAGTTTGTCCTCAGTATACTTGCATGTAACGCAACAAAACCAGGAGTTTCTGTTGAGACGTTAATATAGGGTTAAAAGAAGGCTATGTTTTGCATTTCCATTTTCTTTTCTAAGCTCACTGTTATGACTGTGAAGATAATAGGAGGCATTCACGTGATCGAAAAATGTTTCAGTAAACGAAAACAAAACCACGATATTTCATTGAATGCCACGTTAGCGAATGGTGGCATTCATATTAGCAAATGTCTCTATGGTTTGGAAGCCTTGCTTACCGAACCCTCGCGGTAAGCCCAAGAACGGGGGTAGCCATACTGACGATGCCCAAGAGCCACAAACAAAGTTGTTAATGTTTCAAGAGCCGCATGGGGGCGGGGTTGGGGGGGGGGGGGGGGGCAGAGCCGTATTTAGAGAGAGTTTGGCCATACATTGGGAAGTATAGTAAGCAAATGATCAGGCGCCATTGGTCGAAAGCGGGCTGAGCGTGTTCCAGGGTGCCTTCACATATTCGAATCTGACCAGCCAGAAGCCGCCAATCTTACCCTGGCGGTGGTCGTGAGAAACAAAATTACTAAGTGCGTCGGAGTAACTCTGGGTGACTGAAAATAAGGTGCACGGAAGTTTTCGTTCACGGTCATGCAAAATAAAAATCTAGCAGATCGATCCATGTAATCCACACCCCAGACGCCGAGGGCCGAGAACCTGCCGTCCGAGCGGTCGGACACCGCCTGAGCAAAACAGATTTCGAGCGGCACATTCCATTCTTACATCTTTTTGCATGATCATAATCGAACCATCACGTGCACCACATTTTCAACCATGAAGAGTCACTATATTTAACTCTTACGCGCTTATTACCACCACCCCTAGGGGATTATTTTCGGCTTCTGGTAGGCCAAGTGAGCACGTCGAGTCCCCTTTCTGCGTCTGGTGCACGCCCTGGCTCTGTCCGCTCCTCCCATTGCACAAACTCTCTCTATAGTCTATATACGGCTCTAGAGGAGGGGGGGTACATGGATGGAAATAATGTTTTCTTCATGTGCTCTTGGCATTATCTAATAAGATCTCCTTTATCATACTTAAAGTTTAGAAATTATGTTTCAGAGTGCTTTGATTTCATACTATAACGAAACGCTTTCATAAAGTGGAGATTTTAGGTGACCCGACTTAGTAGCTTTTACAAATTGTGTGCACACCCAGAACAGCCACCTGCTGTTATGGGTATGCAGCTGCATTGTTTACAAACAATGCAGCTGCACTGCATTGTTTGTAAAAGAACAATTTCACTTAGAAGAATGGATAGTTGGGCGAGTTGGTGGGAATTCATCTTGGGACGCAGCGCGAACAACAGACGTGGACGAAGAAGAAACACACAGGACGAGCGCTGACTATCAGCTGAATTATGTTAATAGGAAAACACATGAAATCGACCATTCATTATTTGCAGTTCACCCCCCGTCTGCGTATTACGAGACATTTTCATAGCGGCGTGATGGCACGCCGCATCGCTCCGCTGGAACAGGCACAAGGCACATGGGCCCATGAGCCCAAGGCACGTGGTTAGACTGAAGGGGAAAAACATGTTTGTGTTGATACAAGTAATTAAAATGCAACTAAATTAATTACGATTTATTTTACGTGTTCTTTTTTATGTACTGTTTACAGTTTCTTGGTTTAGTTGCTGCACATCATGAGAAGTACTAATCTTGAGACGGTGTTTTGTGATACTTTAAACCTGGAAACTGGCTTGTATTGTCTTTCACCTCTGAGAAGTGGATGGTCTAATTGTTGCCTGTTTCTCCTAACTTCCAGACAGCTCTGGGTTGCAACACACCAGTATACTTTTTATAGCTGCCACCTTTCTGTATGTGTTATAGTTTTTGATTCTGTGTAATGAACTATATCTTTACTTTTTTGTTACATTTGTTTTGGTGTAGGCAGCTCCTGCAGTGCAGAAGACGTTGCTGCCGAAGTGAAGACTCTGATCGAGCGGTGGCATAGTGTTGGGCTTCAGGTTGTGGCCGTCACGAGCGACATGGGAAGCAGCAACCGCGCGATGTGGAAACTGTTCGGTGTAAACGCTGGCAGGAACAGCAGAGTCGTCAACTTGATTCCCCACCCACAAGTGCCTGGGCAGCAGATTGCTTTCCTGGCTGATGTTCCTCACTCTATCAAGAATTTGAATGGGCATCTTGGGCGTGGTCCGACGATAACAATGCCATCAGACGTTGTAGCCGCTAACGGGCTGACGTGTTCAACTGTGTCACTCGAGCCGGTTCGTCAGTTTGTCGAGTTCCAGAGGAACCTCACCTTCAAGTTGGCCCACGAGCTGCGTCCCGAGCTTCTGGACCTAAACCATTTCGAGAAGATGATGGTAAGCAAGACGTTCATAGTGATGAGCAGGTCTCCTTTCTGTTTTATATGGAACTGACTCTCAAACCAAGTTTTAAGTAGCCTAGGGGTTCCCCTGAGTAGCCTCGAGCATCCCCCGATTACACAAACCCTCAAGGATGTGGTCGAGGCCAAAAACGATTTGCGCGCCACTCATTAAATGCAAGCAACAATATCCTCAGCATACGAGTTCTGGGAAGCGTAAACAGTCTGTTAACATTGAACAGAATAACTTGCATACATGCCTCACCTGCAAGCTATAGAGTAAGACTTCATTTCTGCATTGTCAGTATTATGGATGTTAAAAAAATTTGGCCATGCCTCTCCATGTTTTGCTGCCAATGATGCTGAATTGCGATAGAATTGCATCAATTAGACGACACATATCCTATGATATTCTGACCGCACAACAGTGAGTATGAGAGGGCGAGCGCAATGATCGCAACAATATTCTTTCGCGAAGCGGAGAGCCTAAAGCTTTGCACTGTCTCGTCTGAAGATATTGTGTTAAGGAGAGACACGTGCTGCGGATGGACACCTCACATGTCGTTGCTGAACCACAAGCGTTGTGCACGACATCAAACGAATACGCAAGCGCAGCAGAATGACACGGCTGCGCTGCCTGGCTACTTCACAAAGATAGGCCTCGCTAACTAGCCTCGACAATACTGCTTGAGATCGAAGACGCGTTTGGCGCGAAACAATACATAGGATCGAATTACGGCTTTTTACCACAGCTATCTTTTAAGAAGCTGCCAGCACCCGGACGTTTAGCGATCCCTCTCCGTAGCCGTGTGAAACCTGGCTACTCAATGCGGATGACAGACGTCCCTAGTCAGAGTGTATCTGAAGCAGATAGGCCGCCCTGATTAGCGTCTCTACGAAGAATTTATGCAATTCTTCGTATAGACGCTAACGCCAACAGTGCTTGGGTAGAGCGCCGGGCCGCTGTTTCCCAGCACTGTTAATAATTAATGCTTGAAATGTCTGGGCGGCAGGGGGAAACGGAGTCCCCCTGTTCCGACGCCACTGACGCGCCCACTCATAGCGGCCCGGCGAGTACGCTTGGCATCGCCTTTTTTTCGTAGGTATATTCGAACGGTTCCAACCGAGCTCCTAGTCGGGTCTAATGATTCACGGGGACTAAGGACCAGACGCGTTGCGCGACATCTCAGCCTGCCGCTTCGTGGCGTCTCAGCGTCTTTCAGAATGAAGCCGCACGACATGGTTATAAAGCTCGTCGCGCCCAAGGTCACACTGGCGCCACTGAAATCATGTGACGGGTGACGTCACCTGTTGACATGACGTCGTCACTGACGCCACTTCCGAAAATGACGTCATATCCTTCCGGCACGTCACTTTCTGTGCAAACGGAATTTCGGGTTGGTCGGTCGGCTCACTGGTTGCTGACATCCAGGGTTTCACCATAATTCGTTCTGCTATAAAACCTGCGAGCTATCAGAAGAACGACCCTTTAGAAGATGACTATATAAGTGTTCCGTGCGGAGCAGAGGCGAAAACATTTTAGTAGACAAATGAAAAGCGTTATTTGTAAGGCGTCAACCAGTGAAACGGTTGCAAAGGCGCGTTACAACATTCCTTTGACTGTATTAATCAGATGCCTAATGATGTGCCGCCATCTATCCGCCGGTATTGCAAATAGGCGACTCTACTGACACGCTTAAGGCAAGAAATCGGGGGCTGGAAATGCCATCACACATAAAAAAGCTGGGTCACCCTTAAAATGTTCTCAACAAAATCAAACAGTTGTTCTTAAATCGAGGTCGGTGACATTTTTAGCACTACAACCACCTAACTGACCATGGAGTGTGTGCTTTACTGCAGTGCGGGCATCGATCACAAAGAAACACTGTTACTGTAAATGCAAAAGTGTTGTGTTCATGAAGTGACAACAAATTCAAGAGCGTCTTAAGAACTCGTAAGAGGCGCAAAAAATCATTTCTGTGGACAATGCAAGTGGAAGTTATCGACCTTCACCTCCATATGCCCTCATGCAGTTCTTTGACTGACTGAGCGTGCAGTTTCTAGACTTAAGGTTTTCGTCCCGTCAGCTGAGTTTACCAAACATTGCATAGGCTTCAAAGACTAAAACTATATGTTGTCTTTGTTTGTAGGTGAGCGCTGCCCTGCGGGTGAAGAGTCACTCAACGGCCACCGCCCTTCGCTTCCTGGTGGAGAACCATGGATGGAGCGAGGAATTTCTCAACACGGCCTGATTTTTCGAACATGTTAATAATTGGTTTAACCTCATGAGCAGTAGGAACCCGGTCCTTACGATCAGTAGACAGAATGAGGCCCGCTACCAAGGCACCCTGGACATTTTGAGCTATTTTAAGGACCTGTTTGTTGCTCGGTGTGACAATAGGGGATGGAGTGTTTAACCCTGTGCAAGCGGGTGCGATGCTCTCAACAAAGTCCATTTTGGACCTGCAGCAGAATCTCATTGAGAGGCACTCTTTCATTTATTCTGACATCCCGGTTCACGCAGGGTTGCCTCGAAAACTTGTTTTCAGTAGTACGACAGGGCAATCTTTTGCCAACTACCTTAGAGTTTAAGATGTTTCTTGATATTATTACCTTGTCACAGTACCTAACGGATCCAAATGCAGGGTCATGCGAACTGGACGATGCTTGGTTCTACCTGACAGACCTCGCAGACCTAAATGTACTGCCCACTGACGCTTTGCTTGAGAAAGTAGAATTAACCATGTCACGTCCTGAAGAGAATACCTTTGACTATTACTGTGGGTACGTGGTGAGGACAGTCATTAATAATAATGCCACGTGTGACATCTTTGCTGCACCCCTTCAAGTCTGCACAGCACCTGCAAACAGCCTCATCAAGTTCCAAATTTATGTTCCAGACGCACTGACTTCTTTGTCCGAGGCTGCACGCACCTTCGCAATTTGTGAAGCCGTGTTTCGCAGCCTTGTCCAAGATTTGATGAGTGCGCAGGGTATCTTGAACAGCCTGCCGGCAAGGATGGCCACATAGAACCAATGCGTTCAGCTGCCAGAGTGCCACGAGATAAAAAAAACTAAGCTTATCAGGAGGTTCTGTCTCTCGTGGCTGCAACTGTTCCTGCGGGAAAAGAGTCGCGGGTTCGCAGCTAGGGCAGCTGAACACAGGGACTTCGCCAGCAAGTATATATATGTACCTTGTCGGAGAAATTAGTGTTTCAGATCCCCTCAACTGAGGTAACTGCTGTCCCTGTTTTCATTATTTTCTTTTGCTTTGCTTTCATTGTGTTTAGTGCAGCTTCTGTTATTGCTTTTGCTTTTGTACTGAGCTCTTGCTGAATTTTTTTTCGCTGGATTTGGATGTTTGTGTGCTTTGCAAGTAAGCTTATGTAAGCCTCAGCTGTGATGCGAATATCCTTTGTGTCTCGTTTTGTCTGTGCTTCGTCTATTTGCTTTCATTCTGTACGCTGTTTATATTTTACATGCTCAGTTTGCTTGACTTCAATTTTTTGTTTATGCTTCCTTGCATGGAAGCCGATGCAGACACTGTGCCATGTGAGCCAGTCATTTTCCCGGTTCTTCTGTTTGCTTTCCTTTTGTAATTAGCACAGTATATCTGAATTCACATTTCTTTTGCACCCACTCACAACTTTTGCAAGCCATACACTTGCCCAGAGCTGGGCAGTATCGAAGATACATGTATCTTCGATACTATCTTTCGATACAGTTGAGTATCTTGTATCTGGTATCGCTTGCCAGAAAAACATGTATCGAAGTATCGGTATCGAAGATACTTTTTGAAAGTATCGTGTATTGTAAAAATACCCGACACTTGCAAAAGTGCGCTTCTAAATCGAGGCTGCGTTTTCTTTCACTCTTGTTCAGGGGAAGCTAGAGCATAGAAGGCCTCCGAAAAGACAACATCAAGTAAACAAATCTTGTGTCCGCGGCTAAAACAACAAACAAAGAAACACGATCGAAAGAAAGTCGAGCGGTTTCGCTATCTCTGCACGGGCATTGTCCTTTTTTTTGTGTGTCTATAGCAAACCCGGGTTGCACGGCCGCCCAGAGCACTACAGGAGCCAGACAGGAGGGCGCCGTCTGCAAAACGCTAGGCGGCCAGGCTGAGCTCTGTCCCTGGTTTTCTTTTCCGCGGAACTTCACTTGATATTTCCGACTGTATGGTGCGCACATCGCGGTCCCAGTCTTGGAGTTGAAAGTTATTTGTTCCGCCGCGTCGACGGGCTAGCAATGGCAGACAACGACAATACTCCTCGCTGTGCCATCTTGGACGGGAAGTATTTTACCGTGATTTCATCTAGCGACGACAGAGTAAAGGCTGCCTGTTCGTTTTGTAAAGCGACCATCTGTGGCGCTTACTCGTCAACCTCGAATTTCAAGCTTCACTTAAAGGTAGGTGCAGAATCAACATAAATTAGATTTTTTGTTTTCTTGTAACATGCCAAGAAATGCATTCAGTCGAACAGAGTGTATCTATATGTATCTAATTTTTCAGTGCTGTCTTATGTATCAAAACGCTGCATTTGCATAGCTTACGGAAGTACGCTTTGTGTGATATTACTTGTGTGGCGGCTATATAATTAATCGATACTTATTTTGTTTCAGCGCGTGCATCCACAAGAGCTAAGAAGGTTCGATGAGTACAAAGAAGGGTGGAGAAAACAAGCAGTCAAGAGAAAGGCCGACGCCCCTGCTGACAAAATGCGCCAAACGAAACTGTTTCGCTCTCCCGGGAGTCAACTGACTCAGCCTAAAGTAGACAATCTGATCGTCAAGTTCGTTGTGGATGGGTTGCATTCATTATCGGCAGTCGAAGAGCCAGGCTTCATACAGCGAGCTTTCAATTCTATGCGAAATCAGACTGCATTATAATTGTACATTGTCTCTTTTTCTATTTTAGGCTTGCGCCCAGGGACTAGTGTGATGTCGCGACGGTCCCTAGGTCGACGAATTGATGAGGAATGGGAAAAGTTTCTGGATGACGCGCGAGAGAAGTTGTCTGGTCAAAGCTATGTTGCAACCACAGCTGACATCTGGTCCACTCACCATCGTAGCTTCATGGGTGTCACGGTTCATTGGGTAAGCGCTTTGTGTTTTGAATAAAACAAAATGTGTCCCTTTCCTTCACTACCGTGGCAAAGGCAGTGGTAACACAGAATGTCTACGCATTATTTTGGGGAGCTTCCATCAGCTTGCTGGAAACAGCGTCTCCGGAAGAAAGCCCTGCCAAAAGTAGCGCTCGAGCGGGAGTGGAACGCGTAGGTCACGTAGATTTTATGCTTCGCCCACGTATAAGGTGAATCGAAGCATATGGTTTCCTCATAGAGCGGTAGTACAGTGGTTAAGACATCGGATTCACAGTATGAGGGTCAGAGATTCGTAAAAAAGTCCCTAGTAGTTCAGTGTTTAAGACATCGGATTCATAATCTGAGGGACGCCGGTTCGTATCGGAGCGCTGCCGGTGTCTTTTATATTTCAATTTTCGTGTTCCGCACCTTCGTTACCTAGAAGGCGTCGCCGGAAGTGCCTGAGGCCATTCCTATAACATACATTAAAAAGTAGAAGTTGTGGAAAATCATGATTAAGTAACTAATGAATGATAATATTTGTATATTTATTTAGATCGATGCTGACACCCTTTCTCGGAGGTCGCTCGCACTGGCCTGCAGGAGGTTTCCTGGAAGCCACACGTACGACAGGATAGCAGGAATGCTGGAAGACATTAGGCAGTCCTTCGACATCTCGCGGGAGAAGGTCGTAGCCACGGTCACAGACAACGCCAGCAACTTCGCCAAAGCCTTCAGGGAGTTCGGCTTTTGTTCTGAGATTACTGACCAGGGTAAGGGTAATTCTGTTCTTATTATCAAACATTTTTTCAGATTTTTTAAGGACTGATTTACGTCTGTCTTAATAACCTAAACCCAAGTGGGTAACGTGCGATTACAAATGCAAGAAGTGTGAAAAATATCCGTCATGTTATGCACCGATTCTAATTTTCCTCTTGTCTGGTGCAGCTGACTTGGTTAATTTTTGTGATACATATAATTCTTCTTTTGATACGCAATACAAATAATTGAAGATGAAGCCACTGGAGCTAATGCAAACGAGAGTGTTTTTGATTATTGCACAACTGTTTTTCTTTTAGTTTCTATGAATATGTGTTATTCACCGTAAAATGTTTCCAAACATGTAATCTTGAGTGCTGTTTTAAGTATTTCGGCTAAATGTGTTCCTTTTTTAACTGGCAGATGATGTCGCTGCCGACTTGTCCTTTGAAATTATGGTCGAACCCAACAACCTGGACGATGCTGAAATCAACTTGCCTCGTCATCTTCGATGCGCATGTCACATGCTGAGTCTTGTGGCAACTTCAGATGCGAAGGCAGCCTTGTCGACACCGTCCTTTGAACGTGCTAACACATCGGTCATGTCAAAGTGTTCGGCTCTATGGAACTGCGTTCGAAGACCCAAGTCGTCTGAAGTTATTGTGGACATCCTAGGGCATTCTCTGAAGACGCCATGCGTAACACGCTGGAATTCATTGTATGACAGCATGAAAGACCTCCTTCGCTCGAAGGATAAACTGCGAGATGTCTGCGATGGACTAAATCTGCAGACATTCCAAGAAAGAGACTTAGTATTTATTGCCGAGTACTGTGAGATCCTGCAGCCCATCGCCTCCGCTCTGACGCGACTCCAAGCGCAGTCCGATTGCTTCTTCGGGGAGCTGCTGCCAACGCTTTTTACCGTAAAATCAAAGCTTCAGGAGAAGGCTGGTATGGACTTCGTCTACTGCAGACCACTTTTGGATGCGGTTACATCTGGGTTCATTCGCAGATTTGACGGCTTCTGCGAATGAAACCAAGTGCAAATGAAGCGACTGTTGCTGCTGTGCTTCACCCTTACTTTAAGTTGCGGTGGTTGTCACGAGAACCTCATGATGTCCGCGAGCATGGCCCGCAACTCACAGAAAAAGCTGTAATTGACTTTGTAAATGCAACCAAGCATACCACGCGTCCTTTGGCGTGCGCGCCATCAACCTCTGCAGCCTCTGACGTATCGGCTGATGCATTCTTTTCTTTTGAAGCCCACTGCGGCACGAGCCCCAGTTGTCAGGAAGATCAAGTCAAACTTGAGTTCCTGAGCTACCTGCAAGATCCTCGAGTTGAATTCGATATGCTCCGCTCATACCCTTCTCTGAGAAGCGCCTTCATTAGATACAACACCCCAACGT